GGAGAACCGACCCCAAATAAAATGGGAATGGGCCAGGCAAAGAAGAAGAAGTGATTTACCTCCCACAGTACAGGTTATGCAAAGTGTACCTAACTGAAGTCACTATTTAAGCATTTGCTTTGTTTGAACTTTGATACAGCTGTTTAGTAAACATAGTTATCTGGGGTCTAGACAATGAAAAATAGTTTCGTAGGTAACACAGTGCGACGTCATCGCGAGGTGACCGTGACATTGTGATCGATCGCATAATGGCTCAAATAGTATAGCTACATGTGTATTTAAAACAATATACTTCGATGTGAATCTTACCAGACACATTTGAAAATCAATAATTTAGCAGCAGGAGCAGTGGCAAGAGGAGACAAGAATAAATAAATAAACAACTTGCCTACCATGACTTCATGATGTGTGAATGCTTGATGATATCACCCGTAAAGTAAAAGCTTAAACTGGATGCAATTGCAAAGTCAAGCATCTCCTTCAAACTTTTATTGTTTAAATTCAAACTAAGATCCATCCATCTATCTTGAGTGTAGACCTATCCAGGAGTCCTTCCATAATGCCGGCCCAAAACTTTATTCTGAAACGAAACTCAAATGAATCTACACTCAAGAGTTTCGAACTTGTGACCGGTCTACATATTACCCAATGTTTAAAGAATCAAGAATAATAATACACTTAAATATATTTACGAATTGACTTCTTCATATGCATCAGAAAATACGAGTGCAGCACTTATGACTTTCGATTTGCGCATTAATATTCGTACGCGCGGTCAAGGCTTCCCGCCATCTGTTCTCGAGATACTTATAAGAAGTACTTATATTTCTTATTTTTTGTTATTCCTCCCTACTACGTATATTTTCGACGTACTCGGAACTGTCCATAAAACACCTTGCAATACCGGAATGCGTGAAAGGGTTGAAAAGTGCCTACGTACCTACTTACCTACTTAGTTAGGTACTTATTATTCTTAGGTAAGTATATAAATTCATAATATGCAAACGAGAGTCTCATTTAATAAGTACTTTCATTTTCATATTTCTACAGGTCTAACATTTATGGATTTTATTTTATTTTCTTTATTCAGAAAACCTCAGGTCCTTAAAATACTACAAACAGGGGACAAAGTAGAAGACGAGCAGGTACTTCTATTCTTTTCTTAAGAAAGACCGAATCCTTAGAACTTACAGCCTTACAAGGATTGCTGCACCTCACCGCGATTACAATATTAACTGTGAAATGTCTTTAAAAATATTTCACGTAGACCATGATGATGTCAACCAGTTACCTGATTATGAATTCTGTTAAAAATAAATCGTCACCGTCGTGGCAGAATTAAATAACTGACAAAACCAAAGTTGCGAGATATTCACGTTTTTGTGTTTTTTTTCGTTAAAAATGGCGATAACTTTTAAGGGTTAAAATATTTTACCGTCGGTCTTTTGATATTTTATACAGCAAATTTACCTTTATTAATTCAATAGTATTCGATGATGTTACTTTGTATTATTTTAAATAAAAAAATAAAAATGTAATTATTTAGTTCTGCCACAACCGTATTTTACAACTAAGTTGCAGTTATTTAGTTTTTGTAAGTCACTTATTTAGTTTTGCCTCAACCAAGGTATTACAAAAACGAATATTTCCATTGAATAAGTATACTTGTTTAATTTTGCCACACTTTTATTGACCTAAATGTTGATTTATTCATTTTATTTTATTTGTTTTGTCAATGCAATTTTAGTCAAAATCTGTAAAATTGTTAAATAATACTAGAATATACCTACTTATTTAATACTTATAAATTTTTAACAAATTGGTATGGTAACCATCAACATCAGATTCCTATAACATTGAAATACAATTGAAAGAACCAACATCGAAATGAATATCAAAATTAAAATAATCCAAAAACAATAAAACTGTAATAGGGATCTCTCCCTAGGGATCCATAGGGATTCCTTACCCTCAACGTCATAGCAGAACGACGTTCAATGTCTCTGCAGATCTCCGTTGACGCTAAGGCACATCGGCAGCTCAATAGACAGATATGGAAGTCCTTGCAACATGATGTTCGCAACTTTAATACAAATCGTATTAAAGAGGCGATAGAGCGGAACCAAGGCTCGAAAGTGTTCGCAAGAGACTACTCTATTGGGCGAAGCTAGCTTACGAAGCTGAAGACTGCGGAAGGTAGTGTAACGTCAACAAAAGCCGAGGTTCTGGGTGAGATTGAAAAGTTTTATGGACAGCTGTATACCTCGACGAAGATGTTGTGGATATCAGCATTATCAGCCTATATGAGATTAGGATGGCTCTCAAACACCTAAAGAACAACAAGGTACCGGGTGATGACGGAATAACCTCGGAGCTTCTGAACGCGGGTGGAACATCGATATTAAAGTCAAGTCCTTCAGAGACTATTTAACTTCGTCTTACTCCAGGGAACAACGCCAGAGGCATGGAACAGAAGCGTGGTGGTACTCTTCTTCAAGAAAGGGGATAAAACCTTGCTGAAGAATTACTGACTAATCTCACTTCTGAGTCATGTCTACAAGCTGTTTTCTAAAGTTATCACGAATGATCTCGCGCGTAGGTTCGATGACTTCCAGCCTCCCGAACAAGCCGGTTTCTGAAAAGTATCGGTACATATCGAGGTGCTGAAGTGCTTATACACGCCACCATGTTGGTCCGAGTACAGGAGTGGAGTACGAGGGCGATTCCTCTGCAGCGAGGCATGAGGGAGATGTTATATCTCCGGATCTCCGAAACTATTCACCGCTGCATTGGAAGACGCTTTCAAACTCCTCGAATAGAAAGGATTCGGCATAAACATCAACGACGAGTACATCACTCACCTTCGGTTTGCCGACGATATTGTGTGGTCAGTGCAAAATCACTGGAAGACCTCGGCACAATGCTCGAAGACCTTAATCTCCCAAAAGGTAGGCCTTCGGGTGAACAACATGGAAAAACGAAGCTTTTGTCAGTTTTGTCGAATGTCTATGTTGCGCCCTCCTACCCAGTTTCGGTTAGGAGCTCGAATCTCGAGATTGTTGACAAGTATGTCTACCTCGGACAAACGTTAACTAGGTAGAGAAAGAGGTCGAATCCAACTCGGCTGGGTAGCGTTCGGGAAACTACACAACATCCTTTCATCCAAAATATTTCAGTACCTAAAGACGAAAATCTACGATCTGTATGTGTTACCACTGATGATGTATGGCTCGGGAACGCGGCCTCTTACTATAGGCCTTATAAATAAGCTCAAAGTTGCACAGCGTGCTTTGAAGAGGGCTATGCTCGGTTTTTCTGTACAAGAGACAAGGCACATAGTACGCAGAACTGACAGACGATGGGGCAGCAAGGTTCTGGAGTGGAGGGCACGTACCGGAAAGCACAACGTGGACTTCATAAAGGTAGCAAGAAAGCACTGGATGCAGACCGCTACCAGCCGGTCATATTGAAAATCATTGGGGGAGACCTATGTTCGGCAGTAGACGTCTTATATGGCTGAAATGATGATAATGATGAAGGTAACTATCCAAATTCAACATCTGAGTAATGAACATTGAAATTAAAAGTAACATTTAAAGTAATGTTACAAAAATTAAATAAATCAAAAACACAATTGTACTAGTATTTTGAAGCAATGTTTCGGATTGAGTTGTGGCAGAATTAAATAAAGTCACTTGTTGACTTTCTTAGTACAAGTATTTTGAAGCAACGTTCGCAGTGAGTTGTGGCAGAATTAAATAAAGTCACTTATTCAGTTTTGCCACGTAAATTCTACAACAAACAGAGTTGTAATTTATGGTCAATAGTTTCACTAAACTGAAGATATCTTTGAAAATATCATAGATATTGCCACGAGAGTAAGATCAAAATATAGGTAACACTTTCTACCATACAAAAAGTGGAAAAAGTGGTTTTTGCCAAAAGTGTCAGTTATTTAATTCTGCCACGACGGTGACGAAATAACCTTTGAAAGTTATTTTAGTTGCGAGCAGTGAGATGACTTGCTTCGAACGCATTGATATGCGGTCACTCCCGACTCCCGAATGCGGTTGTGATTGAATAACAAAAGAATGAAATTGGAACATTTTAACATACGTTTATGTAGTTGAACAATTTTACGAAACCATGCTTTAAATCCAAAAAGTTTATAAAACAATACCATCCTCCCCAACATTACGTAATTTTAATTTTGCACAACGGCAATGTTAGAGTTAGAACTTTGTCACCTAATTGAATTCGACAAACAGGCGCCATCTTTTGAAACGCATGTCGCACTTGCAGTCCTTGTGTACAGTAAAAAAAGATAAGTAAATTGTTTAAAAATACGCTTGTTGTTTTCAAAGGTGCCTTACCTAATTAAAAGATGACCGGTTGACCTCGTCTCGTTAAATTAATCGTAATTCCTAATCAGTCAGTCTAGTTGTTCATTTCCTACCGCATGAAAATAGTAAACACATCAATAAATGCCGTAGTTAAGTATGTACTTAAACACAGAAGTTAAAGAAAACTTTAAGTTTGAATCAGCAACACCATCATGGTGTCATGTCAAGGTTAAATAATATATTTTTCTGGTTCAATGAACATTCTTACATACAACCTATTTTGAAAATTTTCCTTTATTTTGAATTTCACTAATTAACATAACATTTGTGCGTAGGTATAACCATTGTTATTTTTTTCTTGCTTTGGTAAAAGTGCGCTACTTTAAAATAATGTGGTAAAAGTGTCAGCATTTAAGTTTATAAAATTGTAGTAAATGGGTGACTACGATTCTACGCATTAGGAATGCAGACTATTTCTACAATTTGCTGATTTAAATATCTAAAATGATAAATAACTACATTTTGCAGTTAATAAATAATAAAAACTTACCAGTATGGACCCGTTTATATCAATTTTAATTAAGTTTCGATCGCATTTTTTCGTACTAATTATTAGATAATTAAAAGTTTTCATTAGTTAAAAATAAAAAACCTTACCTGCGATTCCACTGAACATTTTGACTAGCTAAAATAAATTCACTGTTTGCACAAAACTCCACAAATTATTCCAAGTAGAGCGCACTAAGCAAGAATTCCACAAAACTTATGAATCAGGGACACCACACTACCCCAAATGGACGCGATCGAATCGAAATACCTTCAAGGTTCAACTACAGTCCGCAGCAAGTCGAGAAAACCATGCGGCTAAACCAGCCGGTATTTTTATCGCTGACGTCATAACTTTATTGCGTTTTGTTATTCCATTGGCAATCTTTATTTACTAAATTTTATAATTATTCATAATACAAATACGCATAAATATTTTTTATAAGAATTTAAACATAAATTTTATTCATGGGTTTTATGAAAAAATATCATAAAATGTAGACAAACCATGGTATTACTTTTTTCATTAATTTCTACCACAAGCGGTATTATTTATTGCTGGCAACATTGATAACCTTGCGATTGAGAACTTACGCTATTTCCGGACAGACAATGTACTTTTAATACTTTAAAATTCTATAACATTGTGATGTATTATTATTTTAATAATACGTCACATTAATAATTACAAAATATTTGTGTCAAATGTTAATTGAATACTTATTTTACTGAATTGTTTAGAGATAATATATTTAAAAGTAATACAGTCGATTGGCTATAAATCAGTTGCTTAGCAACCAAATGACATGACAACAACAAACAACTTACGTCAAAAAAGGTTGAAATTGAAAAGAACTGAATCGGTCCGATTTTTCGTGGATTTGTCGCTGTTATGTGCGTGAAATGTCGAAGGAAAATTCTAACCTGCGGCTGCTGGGCTCGCCTGTAAATCTTACATACAGAAGTAAAAGGAAAGACGATAAAAAGAACGTACGCAACCGACCACGCTCAGCTCTTCAAAATTCCTGCTTCACGCCGGTAAATTTCTTTGTTTTTGTTAAATCGATTACGGTTCGTGACCCTAATAATTATTAATGCCTGCTTAGAAGGTCACGCAAATGAGATTAATGTTAGGTATACTTTGACTGAAAAGACATGACATATAAAAAATTTTGTTTTACCATTGGTTTTACCTTTAGCCTAGGCGCAGACCACCCATTTTTAGTTGGCCGATAGTTGGATCGGGCTATTGATAAGTATGAACATGTATGAAAGTGTGCACATTAGACCGATTTGGTATCGGCCGATTCTTCATACAAATTAGAATCGGGCCCAACTATCGGCCAAGTAAAAGTCGGTGGTCTGCGCCAAGGCTTAACACCCAAAATTCTGTAGAAATCTGATTAATCTACTTAGTAATTCCATAATACATGAATTTTCTCTAGATCTTCAAAACTTCAATTCTTATAAGACTCATAAAAAATATATTTTTATAAATGTTTAACCAAATATTATCACAATTTGTTAATCAAAAGTCAACATAATTTATTAGATGTTAATTCATTAGTTAGCTATTTGTTTCCACTGCCAGGACCTTCAAGAAAAGTACAAGAGACCGTTCTCAGCGGATGCTAAGGAGAGAGCACCGTCTACAAGGAGTTTCCTGAAGACATTTAGCGCTGAGATTCTGCAGTCCTATAACAGTAAACACTTTACACATTACTCAGACTTATATGCAACTACCTACACAACACTTACATTTATATTTTATGTTGTTCTAACTAATTTCTTATTAAGGTGCAACATAATTTTAGGAATTTGTCTTATAAAGAATAATTTGCATGTATCTTGCAGCAAGGTCTTGATTTCTTCTTTATTTAGAATATTAATTTATTGCATGATAAGTACAATGGATATAGACAAATATTTTGTTTAATACCCCATTAACTCTAATTTTCAGGTTCCCCAACAACTGTGAAAGTGGTCGCCCCAACAACAGAGTTGCTTGGAGACTTCAAATCACCTCAACATCAATACATAAAAAAAGACAAAGAAATATGTAGCAATGCCTCTGACTACGGTTCTGAGGACACATTTATAAGTTTAGGGACTAAAATAAAAGCCAAGGCCCAGTTAGGGCCAAAAATTAAAAGTCCTAGTGCTAAGAATATTTTAAAGTATAGAAATATAGCTAAAAGGGGTCGCAAAGTTATGGATAATGTGTATGGAGATAAGCCAAACGATGAATATGGTTTAGAAATTAAAATAACTGAACGTCCACCGAGAGCGTCGTCGCCAACTAAGAATAAAGATAGTTACTATGAAAGGAGTCTGTCTCCATCATTTAAAACGCGCTCTTACGAGTCTTACTTTATTCCTTTAGAATCTGACAAAAAAAGCACTGAAGATTCATTAGAAGGGCGCGTATCTTTCGGCACTCCGAATATTCAAGCAGAAGTAGAAGAAGCAATAGATACATACTCCCGTCGACTCACATTAACGAAGCAACAACTGTCTCTTGTCGAAGAAGAATCTACACAGGACTTGGAAAGTGTCCCATCACAAAATCTATCAAGTCTCTCTCCTGAAAACTCTTTAAACGATGCCAATAATGTAAAAGAAGTCAACCTAGACGAGAACCTAACTGGACGAAATACTTACGTGGTTGATTTAAAAGATGATGCATATCCCAAGACACAAAATTTCATGAGTGACCCTAGAACTTACAGCAGCTTTTATGATGACTTTCGAACTAACACTATGGAGTCCTATGCTGTCAAAATGTCAAGTACAGTTGTACATACTGATGCCTCTTCAAAGGACTCTGGCTATCCTGATAGTGGCGCCAATGATGAAAAAGTTTATAAACAAAACTACTCTCTTCCACATTCTTCATCTTCAATATTAAAGAAATCTAGCTCCCACACAAAAATTGAAGACCAACCCAAAAGCCTGGACAGTGTCTCCACAAGTAGCAATGATAAGTATTATCATAAGACTTTCCCTTTAGATAAAAAGTGGACAGAACCTTTGAATCATAGTCGTTTACTATACAAAGATTTCTTCATAAAGAAAGAAGGGCATGTAGCTTTGCCTCCTCAAAATTCTCCTACTAAAAGTATGAGCGACAACATGCCAAGCACTAGTGAGGGTAGTCAAGGTTCTGAAAGAAAGAACAACAAAGATTTAGAATATCCTTCATACTTAGTCAATAGCACTACTAAAGCCTATACTTCCAAAGTAATAGAAGATTACAAAAGAGAGTTAGAAGCTATAAACAATCTACATGAGCTTACTCTTAAAGATATTCAAAGTGACGCCATATCACCTACTCCACTTAACATCGACAGAATGTTCGAACAAAACTCCACTCATTTTGTAGATGATAAGAAAGATTCAAGTGAAAATTCACAGGAATCAAGCATAAATGAGATGCCCAAAGTTGACAACAACTCTTTAGAAAATAGTAAAAGAGATGTGTCTAAAATTTCGACTAAAGAATTGATACAGAATTATTTAAAAGTTAAAGAGGGTGATTATAGCAAAGATTATATTGTTAAAACTCTTCAGAAATATGATAAGAAACCCAATAATAGTCACAGTGATGTAGCTTCTAGGTTTGATGAAAGTACATTGGCATTTAAACAAAGCTGGAATAACAAAAATACCAAAACCAGTAGCAGTAAAGCTGCAATTCCTGTCAATATCAGAAACCAGACCCAAAAGAATTTGTATTCCAATCGTATCCCGATGAGCGCGAGGATAGAAGGGGTTCAAAATGACAAAGACGTAGATTCTTGGATGTCCCTATCAGCGCCCTCACCTAGAATCCTTGAACTTGAAGAAATTCAATCTCCAGTAACTATACCTGAACAAACTGGCACGAGAGAAACAGTTGACAAAGTTGAAGTAGAAACTACACCTCCATCAACTGTAGTAAATTCAGCGAAAGAATCAAAGGACCCACCAAAACCCAAAGAACTCAGTTCTAACTCTACAGTTTTTGATATTTACTCCATGTTGAAAGAAATAGAGAGCTATGGTGATAATCCTGTTACATCTGTGATTAGTAAACCAGGGACTGTTTCTACTGAACCTGAGTCCAAGAAAGAAGAAGAAAATACTGCTCCCAAAGACCACTTTATGTAAGTGCTTAAAGTTAAGCCAACCTTTAAAAGAAGATAACAAAATAATAACTTTTCTTTTTTATGTTTCCAGGGAGATATTTGAATTCCTAGAAAAGGTGGAACAAAGTGCTAACGATGCCCTATCTGTGGTCACTAACACTACTCCGCAAACAGTGCCAAAGTGAGATATACCTGGTTATGCTCATGAACCATCCATGCACTGGTCAACAAATCACTTAATTAGTTAAACTTTTTATAGGTTGGAGTCATTGTTGAAGCTGCCTCAAACGGAGCTAGCGCAGAGGTTGGTGACGTTGTCCCTGCAGCTAGAAGAACGATCCTGCTGCATCGCTCTACTGCAGGAGAGTCTCACCAACCATAAGGAACAGGTATGATAATAAGCTTCTTTCCTTCAAGACGAATATTTGTATGTCTTGCTTTACCAAAATGTAACAGAAAGTACTTGTTTTCACTGGGTGGCACCACTTTCATATGTATTTAAATTAATTCCAGATGATTTCAAAAGTCAGCAATTTGGAGAAGCAGTCGATCAGGAACATTTCAAAAGTGAAGCAAGAATGTGAAGAGACTATAAAAAGACACCAGAATTTCATTGACCAGGTAACAATAATAAAATTCATTTCATACTCTTGCTAATTTTGAAGATTTTCAAGTTTTATAATTTTCAAATTTTGAAGATGTTTGTAGTGCGATCTCAACATTAGTCAAAACAGCGCGTCAGTGTCAATGCGGTATAGTTGTAATCAGTACATCAGACTACCTTTATTTACGTTCCAATATCGGCCCTATTACGACTACATAAGACACCACTTTCACATCAATATATTTTTTTTTTTCGTCTGTACCTAGTTACATATATCAACTTTGGTCACCCAAAAAGTGTTTACCTTTTCCCAGCTGATAAACGACAAGAAGACTTTGAACCACCGCATCGAACAGCTGGTTGACGAGCGGCGAGCGCTGGAGGAGCGCTGGAAACGCTCGGCGCAAGCGCTGGAGGAGCGCTACAAGCTGGAGCTCAGGAACCAGCACGACAAGATGGCCGCCGCGCAGCAGGTGAGGCTTACACAGTTCATCAGAAGTACGGTCAAATGATACTAGTCAACTGGTGTCAAGTAACCAATATTGCCTTAAAATGTGTTTATGGCCAGTCAATTCAGTGAGATTTAGTATTAC